TTTAATTAATGTTTATTATAGCCAGCATGTTAGCTTTAGAAAGGTCAAATTTATGATACAATGAAGTAATATTTTTCACATTCTATGGGTCTATTTTATAGCACATTGGGGTCCACGGTATAATAAATATCTTCTATTATTTTGCAAGATTCTCTTATGCAAAGCTGTGTAGGACCTAGATAATAGTGAATCACAAGTCAAATGAGCTGGCATGAACCTTAGGCAAGTCACTTTATCTTTTAGGACTACAGTTTTCAGACTTGTAAAATAAAGGAAAGGGATAAATCTCCAAGTCTCCTTCCAGGTTAAAGTAAAAAAACAACATGAGCATAACTTAATCTTTTATATTACTATTTATATTATTACAGAATTGATAGGTTTGCCCCCTTTTCTTTTAGGGCATTTTATTTATTTATTTATTTGTTTGTTTGTTTATTTATTTATTTATTCAAGCGCTGGGGTACAGGCCAGAGGTGTGGGGGGTGGGTGAGAGAATTCACCAGAGACAGAGCGGGGAGCAGAAGAGGCAGAAGGACCGAAGTACACTGCTGAGGGGAGCAGCATACGAGGCAGGAGAGGTCCGCCCCGCTATGTGGGAATCTCCCTGGCCAGCCAGGAATCAAACCAGCACTGCAGAGGCTGCAGACAGCCTCACAGCGCTGTGCTCAAACTGTTGCACCACCAGGGAGGTTTTCAGGGCATTTTTGATCGCAGCTCTAATGTATTGAGCTTTAGTCCTTGATCAGGAACACAAACTCTAATGATAACACCATCTTTAAAGGAGAGAGAATCCATTTTACCATAATTGTTGTTCCAATTTCCCCATTCTCTGCCCACATTTACTCATTGAAGGCTCATCTCTAAATGTTCACAACTATGTGATCTGCATCTGATGACCATGCCTCCTTTTGGAGACACCATATTATGTTGCCTCTACGAACAGAGACCCTAACTTCAGTGGGTGGGTGCTAGGCAGCAACCTCAGCGTATCTTCATTTTTAACTGAAGATACTATCAGAAAAGGTCTATGAGGCCTCTTATTAGAATGCTTAAGATGTAAAGTATGCGGAATACACTGAACATCATGATGAGTAGGAAATAATCAAAGCACAGCATTACGCCTATCCCTCATTTAGATGTCTCTCTTGTCACTAGATGAAAACTAAATAGAATCCATGACTCATGCTTGGGTTACAGAGGATTCTTTGGTCACTTTAGGTCAGAAAATACAGTTTTGATTCAAAATTAAATTGACCAATTCCACAAGATTAATTAACTCTTCCATCTTTATCCAGGAGATGCCATCTCCTTTCATTCCCTAGATGCTTAATCTATCAGAGTTCACAGGTGGGGGAAGGAAACGGGGGGAGAGGACAGAGTTCTCATTAGAGTGGTGCCCATCACTGTCCTTAACAAACCTGGCTGACTCCTGCCTTCCTGCCAGCTTTGTTGCCTTGATTGCCAGCTGGGCTGTTCCTGAAAATATTCCTCTGATGTGGGTCATGTATATTTTTCTCTGGGTAACTATTTTTCCTCCACCTATCAGGTTCCTATTTATTATTGTTCCACCCATTGTTTGTTTAGTATTTTTTTGATGGGGGAGGGGGCCCTAACCTCTGACAGGAGTCAAACTGGACAGACTATCTTGAGCAGGATGCCTCCAAAAATGATCCCACAACGTTAGCTAGTTATTTCTTAAGTAGGACACATAAAATGTTGATAACAATATTTCATTATGACTTTTCAGCTTCCATTTAAGATGCATAAAGATGCAAAGGATGTCACTCCCGCTTTAACCACAAGAAAAAATTGAAGAGCCTACACCACCAGAACTTTTCTTAAACCCCTCAGAAAGTAGATATTACAGGGCAAGAAACTAACCTGGAATATGGAGATTCCTCTAAAAATTAAAAATAGAAACTCCAGATGATCCAGGTATCCCATTTCTGTGTATATATGCAAAGAATATGAAAACACCAACTTGAAGTGGTGTCTGCCTCCCCATGCTCACTGCAGCACTATTTACAATAGGCAAGACTTAGAAATGGCCTAAGTGTCCAGTGAGGAGTAGACAAAGAAAATGTGGTTACATGGACCTCCCTGGTGGTGCAAGGGTTAAAGTCTCAGTGCTATTAAGATCTTGCCAGCCACTGCAGCTTGAGTTCTAGCCCTGGTCAGGGAGCTGACCCACATGGCGCAGCTGACCTCTCCTGACTCGCCCACTGCTCCCCTCAGCAGTGTGTTTCAGTGGATCTGCCTGTTCTGCTCCCCACTCAGTCTCTGGTGAATCCTCTCACCCCTACCACCCCCCCACACCTCTGACCTACACCCCAGTTCTTGTATGGATAAATAAAGAAAATAAATCTTAAATAAAAGGAAAATGTGGTATGTATACATACACAATCTTAAATAAAAGGAAAATGTGGTATGTATACATACACAATGATATAGTATTCAGCTATACAAATAAAATGAAATCTTACCATTTGCAACAATATGAAATAATTCAGATGGAGAACTATACATATGATTTCATTCATGTGTAGTGATAAAGAAACAAAACCAAAAAAAATGAACTAAATGAAATAAAAATAAAGCGGTTATTTGTTAAGCCAGAAAGAAAAAGAAAAATACCGGATGGTCTCACTCATAGCAGGAATCTAGAAAACTTAAATAAGGGACCAGGAAAATGAATAACTATAAGAAAGTGAAAATCAAAATCAACAAAAAACTATGAACCAGAGACACTTTTTGGGGGGTGGGGGGCGGGAGGGGAGGGATTGGGGTCAAAATGGGGGGGTTGCAATTGTATGGGGAATATAAAAATAAAATTTATTATTTAAAAAAAAATAAAGTGGTTTTTTGTGATTAGTCAAAGGGGAGTGGTTACTCAAAGGGGAAAGGAGAGGAGCTGGGAAAATTGGATAAAGGGGCAATTCTGCAGTGGTGGATAGAACTAGACTTTTGTGGTAAACAATATAATATTTTATAACAATATTCAATATGTATTTTTTAAAAGACACACAGCTGCAAGCAGGGAAGCACTGTGAGAACTGGCCTCCATGACGCTGAACACCTAAGGAAAACAAGGTCACCAAAGAAGTAGGTAACAAGATTGCACCTGAAACTCTGTGATGACCCTATAGTTAAATTTTAACAATTTGTTATTATGGGAAAATGTGAGTATAGAAGCAGTGGTAGTTATAAACACCGGGAATTTATACTCCCGCACACGTTTTTCTCCACGAGCCTGACAGAATGCTCCTGATGAAGATTGGAGTCAGGGTAGAGGAGAGGAGGAAACCACTTATGGTGTTCAGGTCTGCAAAACAGGAACAAAGAGCTATAGAAAAATATTTGTTGGGGGACAGGGACACAGGGAGAGCAGCAAGCCCACCAGGGCACAAGTGCAGACCCATTCCATACCAGACCCACTTTACTGCATGTATGTTTACTTCAGTGCAATACAACAAAAGGAAAGTACCACTGTCTAGCTCCGGAGTTAATGATAATGTGAATAAAATAATATAAACTGATAGTAGGAGTATCTAAGGACTGGCCTTGGCCCCTGTCCTGTGTGTTTCTTCTATCACCTGTAGAAGGACAGGAAACATTCATTAGCTATAGCACATGGTAGATCAGGTTGATGCAGCTTCTCTTCCTTTCAGGTTCTAAGCTTATAAAGCTAAGTAAATAAATTATAAGAAATTACTTATAAGCTAAGTAAATAACTTTTTTTTTAAAAAAGAAAAGATGCAAGGTGGGGCCTCCCTGGTGGCTCAGGGATTAAAGACAGTGCTATGAAGCTATTGACAGCCACTGTAGCACAAGTTCAATTCTGACTCACATGGAGCAGACCTCTCCTGTCTCGCCTGCTGCTCCCTACTGCTCCCCTCAGCAGTGTATTTCAGTGGGTCTGCCTTTTCTGCTCCCCACTCTGTCTCTGGTGAATCCTCTCACCCCCTGCACCTCTGGCTTGCACCCCAGCTCTTATATGCATAAATGAAAAATAAATCTTCAAAAAATAAAATAAAATAATAAAATAAAAAATAAAAAAAGATCCAGGGCAGAGATTTTTCTTCTAGTGTTTTCAAATAGAAACATTTGTTTTATATGCTATTAATTGCTATGCTGTAACATTTACCGGGTTTTTCTTTTTTCTATCAAGAGCAAAAATTTCTTGTTGCACCATCCTCCTCCTACCATATCATTTATCAACGAGTCACAATTTATGCACTTCACTGTATATATGATGTACATTGATATGATTTGTTTTTAATGGTGCTGCCAACACTTGCAGGAGGCCATATCCACATGAGGTCACCAGGACTCCTGCACTTGTACCTGGTCTGGGGAATGCATTTATTCCCAACAGATTCATTCCTGCTTTCAGTTCTCAACTGAGGCAGCTGCTCTGTATTTCCTTATCACTGTGAGACACCAGTCCTCAATCCTCTAACTGCTGGGGTTCCCCACTATCTCTCCAAACCATTCAAGAGTAATCTCACTGGGTCTGAGGAAGAGAAAAACCCCACCCACTCACTCTTTCACTTGACTGAATGCTCACACACAGCCCATCAACTCTCCTTAACATATCTCTTTATAACTTCCTTTAACTCGACCTTTATTTTACATCATGTTAATGAGAGCTCCAAGAGTCTCTGAACCAGCATCAGACATTTACTTTCTAATTACACTCTGCATTTTCATCCAGCACCTGTCTCTGGTACATGGTATTTATGGCTGGTATTGGGTAGGGATCAGTCAAAACTTCAATATTAATATCCTGTTATGATAATTTTAAGTTGAATAAATGGAATTATTGATTGCTAACTATTCTGACCTAAAAGAATTTTAATTTCACGTGCTTCAAACTAATAATTTTTTCAAGGCAGACTTTTTAGAGAAACTGAACTTTAGATTGGGTTTGAACAAAAGGAAAAAATGTAAATTCTTAAATGAATGCCCAGTCAACTACTGGAAAACCTTCTATGACTTACTTTGGCTTTCAGGTCAGCACACAATTCCTGTTGCTTTTTCCTGTCCTTCGCCAATGCGCTCTCCATTTCATGAGCTGCACAGGCCTCGGCAAGCGTCAGCACAGCCTTCTGTATAAAGTCTTTCCTATTCTTATTCCAACTCGATATCAGGATCCTCCGCTGCTCCTTAGCGAAATGATATTGGTCACAGTATTTCTCATGTTTGACCTGAAAAGATAACAGATGATAAAAAACTTATTTTGAAAGCAAGCCTATGTATTATGTCATTGTCTCAAAAACAAATAAAATGAATTATAACAAATGATTTTGAAAAACTGGGGACAAGTATCTTAATAGTAAATACAGCAACGAGAACTAGTTATCAGCCTCAGAGCCTGTGGTTAACTAGTAGCTGAAAATCAATCATTTAACTTTTATAAGTCCTCAATTTCTTCACAAAGGATGCAGTCCGATGAGTGTCCCTACAACAACTTTCATTTTTCCATGGCAAAGATTCTATGAGTAGGAAACATTATTTACCATATGTATAATTTCAAAAATGCTCCCTCTTTAAATCAGCCTTATTATTATAATTACTTCAAAGACTTCAGTCAAGCTCATGCCAATAAACATAAAATATTGCTACAATAATCCTGAAAACTCAGTTGTGCGAGTGAGTACTGAAGTATTCAGATGTTAAGATGTCTACACATACAGTCATTACAGCAATGGCATTCCCCTTCCCATCCCTCCAGTCTGAGGGCTATGGCACATTGGACCCTTCAGTAGCTCCTGTTGGCAGTGAATCCACACCAAAGGAGAGCTCAGAGTCTTGAGGAAAATAAAAGGAATGGAGATAGCCCGATTAGGCTGAAAAATCTCTGTGGGTGATTCTGAAATGCTCCTTAAATAAAGGTATGTCTCCTGAAATGAGAGTCACTGACCTAAAGAATTTTTCATTTTGCCAGTATATACCATATCTCTGAATTTTAAATATATGTGTTTATTACTCTAAGGTCTAGCACTCTGACTAGCATGCTCACATTTGTTTTCTTCTACCAGTTTACACTGAGTACCTAGCACTGTGTCTTACCATCGCACATGGTAAGAGGAGGATTCACTTCTGTTTCTCTATCCAAGAGGCTCATTTGTGAACCAAGTCATTATTTGTACCTCTTTACAATTTGAGTTGTGAGTGAAATTCTGCCAATGATCTCTGGAGGCCCTCTATTGCCACCTCTCCCCTCACCTACCCAAGGGAATCATAGGAAAGGTCTCTGGAGCAAGCAAGAACAGAAAAGTAAATATTACCAGAGAGTTCCCTCACCTCCTTGTGGACTATACAAACTTGAAAAAAAATACACTGTCAACCTATAACTTTATTATTTTCCAGAGTATAGAAAGAAGAACAACATGTAAAATTTGTATACCTTTCTTAATAACTTGACTACTAAGGCAATTAAACTTGTCCCAATTAAACATATGGGACCCAACACTTACCAAATCATGCCTGGATTTGTGAGGCAAATGTCTTTGCAACATGTCCAGATACAAAGTCCTTCTGCCGCAGAGATCTCCAGGATACTGATCCAAAACAGTCTGGTAAATCCAGTGGTCTTCCTCACTTAATTGGAATTTTCTGAAAGCACCAAAATATTGTTAAGCAGTCATGGAGTTTGAGGAATCTCAAACTGTTCAAGCCATTAACAAATGAAAATAATTATATAAAATGAAAGTTTTAAAAAATATATGTTAAATCATATGTCTGCAATAGAGACACTTCTAAATTCCAAAACAATGGTTTTTTTCATCTCTTTGTTTGTTCCAGGAATAATTTGAAGTAGTTTAACAATGAGACATAATATTTTTATTTTTTTTAATTTTTTTAAGAGGGAGATTATTAGCAAGTATCTTTATAATACTGCTAGAAATATATTTTTATAAAAAAATTTTAAACAACCAATTCATATAAATTTTTGGCCAAAGATCTCAAAGCACACTGTGGGCAGAGACATAATATTTTTAAACACTTACTCAATTTTGCCTGTACCAATACTAACAATATTTTTTTTACCAATGAATAAAGTAAACAAACATTGAGAAATAAATTATTAAGCATATAGATTAAAAAGAAATTTTGCTTATTAAACAGAGTTCCTATGGTTAGACTGGAGGAAAACACAAATGGAGATAGCTAAATGGACAATTATACAAAGCAAGGTACTTATTTAAGGTTGAACTTTAAAAGCAGATCTAGAGTTATATTTTACTTTATTCCCTCTTCTTCTTGCTATGTGGGATTAAGACTAGATTTTGGTAGTGGAAAGAAAGTCAAAGACATTAAATTTCATACCATTAAAGAAATCATTTGTAAATAGGATCCCTTCATGCAATGTGCCCACCATGCTCCAAAATGCCTTCTTATTTGAGAACATCCCTAGGCACTGGCCTTGTTTGTGTTCTACATAAAGTATAAGCAAAGCCAAATGCAGAGTTTAAAAGTTGCAATATCAGCTTGAACTCTAAACCAAATTAATGTCTCTTTATTATTCTGAGTTTATTTGCATATTATTCTTATTTAATAAATTGGAATAATCAAATACAGATGCAATCAGAGGGAATATTATTAGTAACAAATATCTCTTTAATCCAAGATGGAGGCTTGCTATTATTTATTTCTACTGTATCAAGGGTCTTCTACTTTAAAGTTAATTGTGCAATTAAAAGAGTGTTTTCATAATATGTCTTCTATGCCCTTGAAAAACATTTGCTACAACATAAAATAGAATAAAATACCTTTTAAATCAATGATACTAATGAGAATTCCACTGTCCTCATACAAAGTTGCCTAGTTGCTATAAAGCATTTCATTATTCTGATAAGTAGCAAGAAATAAAAAAATACCCTTTTTCAAAGAAGAGAATCTTCTCTAACAACTCTATAATGAGGAGAAAAAGTGGGGTGGAGGTGTTTTAGCAGGAAGCAGCACACTCTATACTTCTTGAGTAAGACATAATCTATTGCAGAGGAAGAATTTGAGATGAGTTCATTTGCTGAACACACTGAGTGTTTTTGATTCTGTTTGAATCAGTTTTTCATTTATAGATGGTAAAACACTACTTCAAAGAAAGCATTTCAAGTAGGAGTATTAGGCCTGGAGAAAGGCTTGTCTGAGAGTATTTATCATTTAAAACACCCTCAACAATATCTCAGGTCCTCTCTCAAAGAACTAATTTTCATTTATGCTAACATAAATGCATTTTAATAGCAGAGCTAGCCACATTTTCTATTAACACTGCAAGCAACAACAACAAAAGACTAGATCTACAGTCCATATTCTCATTAATGCATTTGAACTATTTATATAATCCAAAGAACTTGAATGCAGTTTGGATTTCCACCTCTCTTTGATTAAAATTGTGAATGTATGTGCTTGGGAGGGGAAAGTGACAGAACCTAGGTCCAACAACTGTTCTGCTCTTTTAAATTGTCACTCATCTATATAATGGACACTGTTGGTGTAATGCCCAGGACACCCTTATTAGCTAGAATTCCCATCACAAGATGCTGATGACTCACAGATGTCCCTTCTCTGGAGAACCGCCTTGGCCTCAATAGGAACTGCATTATGAAAGAGGCTACTTTCTCACCCTCTTTCCATCCACAATCAATGACTGTCTGGCATGAGGGTACAGTGGCTAGTCCACTAGCTTCAAAATAAGACCAAGGCTGTGATACCATTCATGTCCCCACAATTCACTGGGAACAAATTGCAGCCCATTTCCATGGAAATCTCTTGCCCACTAAGACATTCTTCACTGCTCTGTCCTGCTTCCCTTACCATTTTTCCTGAGAGCATAGCCCAATAAATCACTTGTCACAATCCCTGTCTCAGCTCTGCTACTACAGACCAAGGTAAACCACAAGCAATGTTACTCATAATTTTCAAAAATAGTTTAAAATCTTTGCTAAATGGAAACACATTCTAAGCTAATTGTTTTGATGATCTCCCATACTAAATGGTGGTGCAAAATTGTGACTGTCTTTAAAGAAAAAGTGCAAATGGCAAACATTTACAAAAATGCCTTTCAAATAAAAGCACACATTAGGCAGTATTTACATAGCAGAGGTGAATTTATGGCAATCAGTACATTTTTTTTTTATAAAGATTTATTTTTTTATTTCTTATTTATTTTTTATACAAGCACTGGGTACAGTCAGAAGCGCGGGAGGGTGAGAGAATTCACCAGAGCCAGAGCGGGGAGCAGAGCAGGCAGAAGGACCGAAGTACACTGCTGAGGGGAGCAGCGGGCGGCAGGAGAGGTCTGCGCACCATGTGGGACCCTCCTCCGGTGGCTGGGGAGCAGCTGGGGATTGAACCGGCGCTGCAGAGGCTGCGGGCAGCTTCGCAACCCAGCGCTCTATCGCTGCGCCACCGGGGAGGCCCAATCAGTACATTTTTATACATTGCATGAATGTATTAATTAGGTGCCGTTTTAACAAAATTAAAGACACTTAAACATATGAAATGAAAATGATAATACAACATTAAAACCAGATATTTTAAACCAAGAAAGTGACAAACAATGATCACATCCATTTTATCCTTCTTACTGATTTTAGAAACCTCACATTGCAACAGCTTTTTCCAGTTAGCACAATTACACAAATTATGTCATTTTTCTAAGGTGTATAGAATAAAAATGAAAAACATGTTTAAAAGAAGTGATATATAAATATTTACAATATTGTTATTTTAAAAACATTCATAGCAGTTTCCAGAGCTGCAGGCTTAAATCGTGAGGCAAATATTCACATCAGCAAATACTAATGGCTCAGTCATACGTCTCTATTAGAATGCTGTTTGTGAGGGAGAAAACTTCCACCATTATAGATCTGCCAAGACTCTGGATAGTAAAAATCTAAGAGGAATATTCGAACATAATAACCTCCTCACAATAACAAAGTATTTAGTCTCTAAAATAAAAATCAAATTTAATATATCTGCATTTCTAAATTTAAATCTGAACATGTCTCTATCCTAACCAAACCTTCATCCCTTCATTAAACAGAAAAATCTACATAAAAGATCTGAGAAAAAGGTTAGCTTTTACTTTTTGAAGTTCTTATTTTATTTGACTGCTTGATGATAATTATAATGGTAGAACTAGTTAGATTATATAGATAATGAAAAATATTCTGATCACTTACTGAATTCTGAATTTTAAAAAATGACCATAATTTTTTAGAAAGTATTAAAATGATCCTAAAAACCTGCAATTTTAAAAATAGACAAAAAAGATCTTTGGAAGTTATTATTTTTTTGTCCATCCAAGATTCTTAATTTAAAGCGCTTTGTAAGTTTCATCTTTATGATAGCACACCAAGATTTTATAGTTTGTAGGTTTATTGAGCATTTTTAATATTTTAGGAAATTTCAGCCTGCAGAAGGTTGAGGTAGTTATCATTCAACACCTACCCATCATCCCCTGCCCCAAATATTGAAGTCCACAGATATCATTTCATTAATGATTTGTTAAATGTGACAAAACAGGCAATACAGAAAGGACCTTACAACTGTGAGAATTCAAGCTGACCAAGGCCAATTGTTTCTCTAATTGCACCTGTTTGAATCATTCCCAAAATCCTAAACTGACTCACAGGCAACTTATCTATAAGTATACTTCATAGTCACATACAGAACACTACATTAGAGTTCTAGTTTCACGATATCAAAATACATTTGATGGGGTTGGGGGAAAAGGCAAGATGCAGCAATGTTGGCAAACAAGATACAGAAGCGTAACAGGTAGTTTAATAGCAGAATCAAGTTTATGCAACTAAACACTGTCTACCAACTGGTTGAAAGTTGTTATTTTTTTCACAGTAAAGGTAGCTTTTCAACAAAATGTTAATTAGTGTGTTCTGAAGGTAGCTCAATGCAGTTATCAGCAGCTAACAATTGCCCCAAGATGGGGAAATGGCCATACTGTATCTGTCCTCACAAAAAATTCTTATCTCTTAAACTATAACAATGTTGGCACCTACTGCTCCTCCACTAAGAAGCAGGATTGCAGTGAGCCACCAGTGAATTCATGTAGATAAAAGATAGCTCTCACACAATCGACTTGTTGGCTGGGTCTGTCCTTCCAGAAAATTCAAAATATAACTTGACAAAAAACAAAAACAAAAACAAAAAACCCTAAGCTAAATAGAAACAACTCAAATGTAAATGAACAGAATAAAGATCAGATTATCTAAAATATATTTCTTCTGATTTACAATGAAAAATCCTTCATTGAACCAAATCAGTTTCCATGTCAGAATTTTAATTCTTCAGGGGGCCTCCCTGGTAGCGCAGGGGGTTGAGACACAGCCTATGAAGCTGTCTGCAGCCACTGCAGCACGGGTTCAATCCTTGGGCAGGGAGCTGTCCACATAGCGCAGCAGACCTCTCCTGTCTCGCCTGCTGCTCCCCTCAGCAGTGTCTTTCGGTCGACCTGCCTGTTCTGTTCTCCACTCTGTCTCTGGTGAATCCTCTCTCACACATACACCCCCACTTCTGGCCTGTGCCCCAGTTCCTGAATGTATAAATAAATGAATCTTTAAAAAAAAGAATTTTTATTCTTCACTTTTGGG